TTCAAACTAAAACGACGAAAATATGCATTATATGCTCCATTTATGCTGGTTTTGCCATAAACCTCTTCGTCTGTGTTCAATCTCTTCCAAAATATTGTTCAAAATTTACCTAGGACGACGCAGAGGATGTGTTAAAATCAAACATTAAATTCCAAATCTGGACAAATCCATTAGCTTGCAGTGCTGAATACAAACTGAACTTTAAACCCGGACAAAAGCAGTTATAATTTAGTTTGTGCGTAATAAAATGTAAAATATGTTTATGCTATTACACTACAGTGTATTAAGAATACAGTTTAAAGAATAGAATTTAAAATTCTAAACCAATAGCTCAGTCGCTAACTCTATATTCTACCAAGATAGCAATCATTTTAAAATAAAGTGTTTTTTTGCCAAAATCTATAGCATTAAAAACTCAAGATAATTAGCTATATATAGTAGCTGGTCTCGAGTGTAGATATTACATCAATATAATTAATATATTAAATGATAAATAATTATTGCTTTCGAAAAATTATTTTAATTGGAGATAGTGTGTCAGCCACTAATTATCTCTTTACTGTGGATGTTTTATTGATTTATATTAAATAATATTAGGTAATGAGCCTAGTAGGTAATTAATTTTTCTATTAGTAGTATAATATGGTATGTTAAATAAATTTTTGCCAAAAAAACGTATAATATATTATTAATATTAATCAATATAATATAACACGATAAGAAGAAAAATATAATATTATATAACCTTATAATTCAATATCGCGTATCAACCTCTTAGAACGGTGTAAATACGTTCGTGGTACAATTGTACAAATAAGGCTTGAAGGTAGTCTAAATATTTTGAAAATTTGTGTTTAGAAAAGTATATAATATGAATAATATTGGAAATTGGAAGGATTCAAGTTTCTATATGATTAGTATTTTTTTTGAACAGGTGACCTACCTAATATTAAAATAACAAAAACTTTTGTGGACAAATCGTTATTATAAGTACGTTTGAATAATTGAATATCCAAAGACTTTGTTGTACGAGTATACATATTATGTACCTACTAATAAATCAATATAATAATACATATAAATTATGCTTGGAAAATTATATTTTTACAAATTTATTCGAATTTTTGTCTGGGCAATATTTTGTACATTATCATTAGTGAATAGTGATTGTTTATGGTTATTGGTTTGTATATATTTGTTCTCATCTTATCAGCGTAATACTAAAATGGTAAAAAGGCGAGATTTCTGGAAAACAGTCAGTAAGTACTTATATAGGTAATAATGTAATATCATATACTTAGTACTTAGGTACTATAGAGACTGCAGTTGTATGATAGGACCATTGTAATGTCACAATAAGTTTAAACGATAATTCGGCACTCAATGTACAACAGTCTCCAAATTATGAGTTTAGTATTAAAAATCTATTCACTGCAAGAAAATGATCTTACAAAATATGTCATTTATGATTTTGTGAGTATATTCAATTTTGCGAGCTGTCGTACATTAAAAATTCATAATACGCTCAAAATCTATTTTCGTTCAGTATTATGTTACCAAGTAGGTACCTAAGTCTTTTTTCAAATAATTACTGATTAAAAATATAAATATATAATAATATATTTTTTAATCATTATTTATTATCGTTCCCCAGGTATATATTATATAACTTCGCGATATTACAGAAAAATAAAAATGTTGTGTTGACTAGTGTGCAGATATATCACTCTTTCGCATATCTATCGTTCTTGGCGAAAGGTAAAATAATTATACTTTATACCTACTACATATGTCTAGTGTTTACATATTACATTATTATTATACATTTTAGTTATACATAGGATACCTACTTCATAATCGGATATTTATAATAAATTAAAACAGAATTAGAATAGGTAATACGGTTTAAAATAGTTGCAGTGATTTTATTTTACATAAGTCCTAAACATTTGTGTGGTCTGATTTGAACACTTATATATTTTATCAAATTTTAACCATCGTTAGTCATTTAGTTCAAGCATTTTTAAAAATCATTGTTCATACACATTTTTCGGATTAATTAAAAAAAGTGTATTATATTACCTAACGATTTACTGCACACCTTTTTTCAACAATATTGTATTTTTTTATTACAATTTTGATCATGTTATTATGTTTATGCTTAAATTTTTATTTTAAATAATTTTGATACACCTGATAAAAAAAAAAAAATAATATTAGTGAATGGCAATTTGTTAAATGGGACCCAAGTAACATTTTTGACAAAAATAGTTTTGTTGTATACTATTCATCCTCTTATGTAAACACATCGTTTTGTGTTAAAAAGTACCTATTTCGTATTATCTTGTCTGTGCAAAATTATTATGAAATATTTCATAGTTTGTTAAAAGGTACTATGTAGGTACTTATTACGCAAATAGAAATAAAGGAAAACTGTTTTTTGTTTCCCTGAAAAGTAGTTGAAAATGTAAATAGGTCCTTTTTAACAAATTGCCATTCAAGTATATAAACGTTATAAATATTTAATTAAACATTTAATAGGGTGATTTTAGATTTTTTGCATCTAAATGCTTGTAATATTGACATACTTTAATCTAATCTTATATAATATACTTAAAAAGTAATTTTCAAACCATTTATATCTAATTTACTAAATTACTATCGAATAATATATGTGTTTATTATGTAATATAATTATATTTTCCAATATAAATATTATAATTCAGTTTTTTTATTCTAATATTATTTTAAAACCTAGTTGTGTGTATGTACTATGTAGATTAAATATTATTATATATGTATTATATCGAGGGTGTTTTGTTGAAACGGCACAACCCACATAATTAAAATTGATCAGGAGGAACTAAATAGTGTTTTTTAAAAATGATAACGTTGAAATCGGTTGGATTCGAATTTAACTTCATACAGTAGACATGTTGATAATTTGATAAAAGTTTTAATTCTAATTTTTAAATGTATGCGAATCATATATTATAATATAATATTAATTATTAATGATAATATTAAAATATTAATAATATTATTATCATTCAAAGTGATAGTAGACGTGGTATGGGCCCTTTTATAATTCAGATTCTTGAAGGCCCTTCTTATGATAAATCATAACCAGTAACCACTAAATATTTTGTGGTAAACGCCCTTTTTACATAATCATGTTTTAATTTTATTTTATTAAAAGGACTCCTCCATTCAGTATAATTGTTATCAGTTAGACATATATTTTATCTAATAAACGTCCTTTTTACAGATTACCTATGCACCTAATTTTTCTGAAAATGTTGATACCGAAAAGTCGATTTTGATTTTCAATTTTTCTTGGGGACACCTAAGCCCTTTCAACAAAACACTGTCGATATGTTTATGTATATGTAATATAAATTATGATATTACAATAGAACATTCCCTAATGGGCACCTCCAAATAGCGGACACTTTAAAGTAGGTAAGGAGTGTTTTTTTGCCAACAAACTACACACTTTCTACAAACTGAACTCTCTGAATAGCGGACACCTCCGAATAGTGGACAACATTTCAGTGACAGAAGTTGTCCGTTATTTAGAGGTTTCCACTATTCAGATTACAATTCAGTTTATAGAAAGTTTGAAGTTTATTGCCAAAAAAACGTCCGTTATTTGAAAGTTTGATTTTATTTGACTATCATATTATAATATTGAAGAATTTAAATCAATTTAATAAAAATTTGAAGTCGCCACTATGGTGTAGCTGTATCATTGTGGGTGTTGATTGTTCCTTGTCATTATAGTTTATAAAGATGCAAAGTATATTGAACATTTTAACCATGTCTAGAAAATGTTAATATTAATAAATAATAAATATTATATCATACACTTTTTATTTTAGTTTTAAATTATAATAATATGCGCTATGAAACTTATGATAGAGTTTGTGACTTTATACGGTTATTTAGTTGGGTTTAAATTGTTTTATATTGATAAATATTAAATACCTTGGTGAAGGCACCTTGTAAATTGTGCGTTAATGCGGTTTATCTTTGTTTCGTACAATATTCATAATTTTAACTCTATATAAGTATGTAATTAACTAGTATATAACTAAAAAGAACTACCTGTTCTAACTATAAGAACAATATAAAGAGTTTTACTCAGTGAGGCCTAGTAATCTTTACCGATATTAAATAAAAATAAAAAATAAAATAAAATAAGAAAATAAATGTTATGCAATTTTAATACTTAAACTTAAAAAAATGGATAATATAATATACAGGCGATAGCACGTACATTAGGTACATTATGCTATGTTTTTGGCCAAATTTAGTTCAACTTATTGTATTCCACTATAATTATAGGTACTAATAGAAAAGTAAAATAGACAATAGCCTTACTATCCTTTGAAATAGAGTCTGATAGACCATCTTCGACTATAGAATCGATTTTAGCTTATGGAATAATAATTTATATTATTGAGATCGAATTATTTAATTAGATTTAATTACTTAATTATTAGATCGAATTTATTAATATAAAAATTACAATTACGGGTTTTTTTTGCTTACAGGTACCTACAAATTAAAATTGATCACATTTTCTTACTAGTTGAAAAATTGAAAAGGATATATACCAGACACCTACCTACTCCAGTTTATATATTATAGGTAATCAATGTTACAAAATAAATCTTCCTAGATTATAAAATGTCTCGACTCCGAAAGAATTGACCGATATATATTATATATATTATATTAACAGTAATTTTTTTGAACAAATGAGAAAGACCGAGTATTTGCAAATATTAGAGCATTGTTTCAAGTATTTTAAAATATTTGATTCAAAATTGTCATAGCTCAGATACGCGTATCACTTTGCATTGGAGTTATACAGGGTATGCAAGCTATGTCTTTAACAAGTTTATAAAAAAGAGACAAATATTTGAACAAAACGGTAAAACAAAATATTTCAACATAATTTGTAAGACAGACATAAGCTAACATTAAACGTAATAATGGAATCTGGAAAAAGCAATCCAAGTCACCTACCACATCAGAATAAAAAAAAGCAGCTACATAATGATCCAATAATGGCATTATCCCTCATGAAAAGCCTTGCTCCGTACAACAAAATTATAAATGATATTGGATATGATCGTTTCTTTGTACATTATTGGACTTTGGCTGATCTTAATATGTATAGAATGTACACAACAATCAATAAAACACCAATTATTATAATTGATGTTACTGGTGGTATAGTCTCGAAATGTAAATTAATTTCCGGCAGGGAAACCTCATCTATATTTCTTTATCAAATTGGTGTGATGGATAAAACACAGTCTCAACTCAAAGTTGCCCATATGTTATCAGAAAGGCATGATAACAACTCCATTAGTCACTGGCTTTCGGAATGGATGAGAAATATAATTACTCCTCCAAAAATTGTTGTGACAAATCAATCTAAAGAGCTAATGATTGCTGTAATAAAAACTTTTACTCAGTATTCAAGTTTGTCAAAATATTTGTGCGCATGCTCATCACTTTTGTTGAAAGAAACTAAACAAGTCAAGATACCAAATTGCATGCTTAGAAATGATTTTAACCATACTATGAAACTATTAAGTTCTTGGACAGAAATTAAAAATTCTTCACCCAGAATCAAAAACTTTTATCTACGGTCCATAGGCTTGGTTATTTCAAGTGTTGATTTTAATGACGCAAAATTATTATTGGAACATATTTTTACTGTCGCACTCAACGAAAAAGATGGATATATTACAAACAATATTCCAAATGCATGTGAAATCTCAAAAAAATATTTAAAAGAAAGGATAGAAAGTGATTTAGTAATCAGTCAAGTAAAAATACATAATTTAAATGATAAAAATGAAATTGTATTCCAATATACTGGGTTGGATGAGAGTGATCTCTTACTAGACGAGTTAAGTGACGAAAATAGTATTTTTAAGATAATTCAAGGAGTGTATAATTATTGTTTGGTAGAATCACGGTCTCACAAAAACCAAGGCAATCATGATAACATGGAATATTGTCCTATGATTGCCAAAAAACTTCTACGATTTTGTAAACTTATTCCGTGTTGGTCTGCGGTAATGATTTCTACATTTAAATACGATGAAACAACGAGTGCTTCATCTGAGAGTTTATTTTATGGCTTGAAAAATCATACAATTAAATATAACACTATACCAATACGTGTAGACGATTTCATTCGAACACACATCGATGATATTTTAGAAAAACAAAACGCGGACATTGACAGTTGTATTACAGTGGGAAATATTGAAGGAAAAGAAAACAATGAACGTAAATCTTCCGAACAAATTAAAGAGCTGCAAGTAAATAATGATGAAATCGAAACATCAATATTGTTAAATGAAAAGATTCAACATAATAAAATAAGTACATCGCCGACCAAGTATAATCTATCAATAACTAACATAGAATATTTGCACGAAAAACAAACGAATAGTCGTTTTATGAATCTATCACTAGCTACGATTAATACCACTGAATATAAAAAGAGTATACAGAATATAACAATTAACAATAAACGATATATAATTACTAATACTTGCGCATTTGATAGTTTAATACACATTTTATTCACATCGTATGCGGACAGTCCAAATTATTTAAAATTTATTGAAGTGAATATCGAATTTAAACTGTTTGAGTTTATTTCTTATGCTAAAAGAAATGGATTTAATCTACAAACTTACAAGAAACGAGCAATGATTTTAATTGATGTATATAAATCACTAGCAGAATATTCAAAAAGCCCTATCCATTTAGACTGTTCGTGCACTACACATTTTGTAATTAATAATTTGTTTTGCAACTATGACTCATTAATTGAAAATAAAACATGTTCGAATTGTAAGGAAGTAAGGACAAGAAAAGAAAAGATTATTGTCGTTAAATTACTTAATAGAGACTTAAGTTTTTTTCTCGACGTTTTGAAAAATATGTACTCAGTGAAAACACATGAAAAGTGTGACAATTGTGATAGTTATACAATAAAAAGTAAATTTACATTTGGAAATCAAGTTTTTATCGAACTTTTTGCCCCACCTTCTAAGCGGAAACCGTTGAATAAGTACTCTGATGTTTCCTTGACTCTTTCGAAAATTCCAAAAAAATTATGTTTAGATTGGAAAAGTTTTACTTTGAGAGGAGTGATAAATTTAATTCCACCAATATTGTTAAAAAGTAGTGCTATAGGTTACTATGTCTCTTATTGTTGGAGAGAACATTCAAATAGATGGGAACGTTATGATGATCTAGAATGTAACTATAAGATTGCAATACCGACAACAATAATAGAAAATTGTCAATTTATTATATACACAGTTTAGTATGAAATATTTTAAATTTCAATATCGATGTTTTTTAAAATTATTATTATAGCATTATAATATTTTATAGTATTCATCAATAAGTAATGACGTAATGTAAACAAATAAATAAAGTGAATACTGAATAATATATATTTAATTTAAAAGTTTTAATCATTATTATCTATTTTATTACTTTATATTCTTATTTATCATTATCTTATCCACATAATTATATATAATATAATTCTAAATACATTCTAATGCATGCTACAAACTTAGCACTTATATATATATATATATATCAATTATCTGTATCGTCTTATCTTGTATATGTACATTATAATTGTCGAGCCGTAATAGTTTTGTGCTAATAAATGGCTAATAAAAAAAAAAAAAAAAAAAATTTAAAAGTCTGAACTGTTATGATATATTGAATTTTTTTAATTGTTATTATTATATTATGTTATCAAACATTTAACAGTAATGTAAAAAAATATATAAAGTGAATACTGAACAACAAATATTTAATTTAAGAGCGATGAATGCTGTTGAACAATCTCGTGAAGGTTGTTTTGTGTGTTCAATAATGACAGTAATTAAGTATTAAGTATTTGGTACTTTAGGGGAGGCCAAAAAAAATGATGTAAGGGTTTTAGGACAAACGGATGGATTTATTTCACCCCAGAACAAACGGAGTATAAACGAAAGCCCTGAGTTTTAACCATATTTTTTATATGTGCGGTTTGATATTATCAAGGGGACAATGACCTAATATCGCTATAATTAATAATACATAATATATGTGAATATTATGTCAAAAATTAATTAACGTAACGAATTAGTGTCTTACTAATAGAAAAATAAATTTATTACAGTAATATACATTATAATTTATAAACATATTAGACAATAATATTATAATACCTACGACAGTCTTAATTTTCTTGAAATTGGATGCCACTAAATTTATTTTCAGATCCTATCACATAACTGTGGATTATGTAATAAACAAGACCGTGATTATTTTAACACTTGTAAGCACGTCTTATAATCATCTCAAAAAGTGTTAATGTTTTTTACAATGATATTATTATGGTTTCTAAGAACTGTCGCCTATCTTTATTATTTTTAAGTTTTTTACTTTTGAAGTTATACTTCTTTACGCACGGTAGTGAGGAAAAAAAAAGCGAACGGGCGGCGCGTACGAACGGGCGGCCGTACGAACGCGAAAGCGTACATGTCCGTAAATAAATAAATATTGTCATGGTAATGTTGTTTTATTATATATTATATATATATATATCTGTATATATACAACAGTAAGCTGATTGACTGCTATCAACGCACAACTCAAACCATTGGACGGATCTGGCTGAAATTTGGCATACAGATAGCTATTATGATGTAGACGTGCGCTTTTTCGAAATTCGCATTTTAAATAGGTGCTCAAACAGGGACATTGAGATTCAAGATGGAAATTGGAAATTTTATTTTTATTTATTAATAGTTGCCGTTGGTTACAGTCTACACTCTACATTAGAAATTAGCATTTATTTATTGGTTGCCATTGGTTATTCGGGCAGATCAGGTACAAGCTTGCATCAAATCAAATTATTGAACATTGCCTACCAGGGTGGCTGAGCTGCACTTACCCCAGCAAGTTACACCCAAAAGGAGTTCAACAATCATAATTTTTTTAAGAGTTGTGATTTTTTACGAGCAACCAAATTTGTTATATTAATCCACAGTATTATATCAAAATAAACTTGGTATAACTTTGATAATTTAGAGTTAAATCATACACTTCCGTACAAACAGCACGGGATCCGCGATCTACCACAGGTAGATTGCCTACCTGATAATGTACTGCTGCGATTCAGAATTTTTATTCCGGGCAACGGAAAAGATAAGATAAATTTTGAACACCATACACCGAATATTGAATAACGAATTGAACAAAGTTTGAGTCATAACTCATATTGAGTTGATACATTTAAAGGGCGACGAAGTGCACGGGATCAGCTAGTATTATATATTATAATCGGGCCATACTAATTAATATGAATAATTAATGATCGATTATTATTTATTTTTATTATTATTATTTGTATTCACTCACAAATCTATTGTCTGGATAAAAACAATACTACAAACAATTATCCATCGATCTGTCGAATAAAAATATTAAAAAAATAATAAAACTATCAATAATAAATAATTCCGGATAATTCTTCTCATTTTTTAAATTAATTAATATTTTTTTCTTTCTTTTTCACTCACTCACGTGCTCACGTGTACCATTCAAAAGAAGTTTAACTTCCCGCTCGCGTACTGGTAACACACATGGTTTTTTTAGAATAGTGGCATACATACATTTATTATTTTATATACCTACCAAAGAACAATATTTTTTCTGAAAATGTTAATTGTAAAAAAAACCCATTTCGAACACGAGCAGTTAATTAATTATAAGAATTTAAATTTTAGGAGAATGTCGTGTGATGTGGCACAGCCACACAGGAGCTAGTATCCTGTAAAATATTGATCTTCTACCAATCTTTACCACTCATATACACTTTAAATACTTATACCGAAGTTATAACATATTAATTACTTGATCGAAATTCGATTTTTATGTACTTATTTAAATTTTGAGAAAATATAGTAGTAATACATATTATTATAAGAAATATGAAATTATACGTCACGTATAAATCATGGTGTCATTAATAAAACTAAAAACTTAAAAAGTATTAACGATAAAAGTAGTGATAAATAAAATATTTTTCAAAAACAACCTAATAATTACTTTGAACTGCGCAAAAAAATATTTTCTAAAATTTCAACACTTTCCAAGATACCTAATATTATAGTCTTGACTGTTAAAAAAATCACTTAGCTATAGGTAGTATTGCTCGTACCTAAATATTTGTCGGACACTTCTTGAAAGTTGATATGTTACAATACTATTTTATCTATAAAAAATTTTCCTTATTACCTATATAATAGGTACGCAATTATTTCTTCAGTCATTAACGAAACGCACTATATTATTATAATCTTTATTTGACATGTACAGTTGTACTTATAATATAATATTGAGTTGTATCGTTTAATGACTTTAATGTTTACGGGTTTAAAGTCTCCGAAACATCCACGCCAATAATGATACAAAATATTATTATTTATGTAACCTACCTACCTTTTTTTTCTACCACGGAGACTTGGAAATTGGGCACGGCACGCGTCGTGTTCAGTGGCATAAGACACGACACACGCGCATCTTATCGTGATCGAACTTAATATACTCAGGTCTGCACGATTTCCCATTCCACCAATTATTCCAAATAAGTAGTCGAATAGCTCCGAAACTTGGAAGGTTTGTGCATAATATTATTATTATAGCCCGTCTTACATCACCTCCTGTGTACAGTTTTATCGACTAGGTAACGTAATAATAATATTGTGTTCACCGCGGTCTACGTCGTCATGATAATATATTACACTGTTCTTATTATTATATGATCCGTCAGACGTGCATGAGCAGCTAGTCATCGTGGCGATTGAGTAACGGCTAACGAGTTAAATATTCTCTCGCTTTGTGTGCAGCACAAATTTGCCCGAGATCGGGATACAGCAAGCGAAATATAATATTATTATTATGTTCGTGTGAATCTCTCAAGAGTCTGGTATTCTGTTCTTTGGACGATTACTATGCGCGTTTTGTTAAGAGTTCACAGATACGTCATAATTTTATTCGTATTATTAATCTACACGACAACGTATCGCTATTTATGTAATAAGCAGTCGCGGTTTTAAATGTCATTGAATACATTACATAAAATCAGTCAATGATTGTCGTCGGGCGAGGGCCGTGGGCGTTTTACGAATAAAGATAATATTTATTATAATGGTTGCTGGTACCTACAACTATAATATTCTTTCTTATTTTGAAAACCGTCAGAGGAGCAAAAGTCGTAATATCTGGACAGTTATTGACTGAGATAATTAAGGAGATTCGGAAAGCCGATAAAATCTGAAAAAAAAACAAAACAATTCATTGTGAAAAAAACTAGGTGAGTATAAATATTTTTGTAAATTAATATAGGTAGGTACTTATAATATTATCAAAAGAAATCTGACTAGAGCGTATTATAATTAAAAACTGATTTAGTTAAGCCGTAGGTAGGCAAGTACTAAGTAGGTAGGTAGGTACCCATTATGATATTACGTTGACGATTATTGTGTAAAAATGACTTAATAATATAGGTAATGTTTATAATGATCATAGATATGTAGGTAATATACACGAAAATACTCAATTAATATTGGTCGAAAACGGCAATTATCTTCCCACTGGATTTATCCTCTATAATGGCTCATAATGTTTATGTTCTCTGTAGAATCTGTTTTGAACTAATTATTTTTACATTAATTATATTATGCTTGACACCAAGCCATATTAAGCTGTAGAAGACGAACATTTTATTAAAATATTTAAACATAAAATAGGTACCTACTTATGTAATAAAAATTACTGGATAGATCATACGTCATCCGGTGAGGATGTGAGCTAGGATAATATAATACACACATTTCAGGTTAGCTAAGTTACACATACAGAAATATATTATTATTTTTTTTTTTAACTTGAGCCCGGCAACTATGGCCATTAGTTATTGTAGGGATTATGGACTATGGTTGGTAGGGTTGGTACGGTAAGATTGTTACGGTGGGTAAGAAACACGTGTAAGTGTGGCAAGGTGTTTCGTGTTTAACACTACGAACCCGGGTGGTCACCCATCCAGGAACTAGTGGCAGCGGACGTTACTTACTCTCAGTCGCGTTGCGCGACTGATAGCAGCCAATGCGCCACCCCAATCCACATAATATATTTATAATGAATGTATTGACATATTTTGTAAAATATCAATTAGTTAAAGATGTTCACAATTAAAATACCCAGCTATTATATTATTTATGTTTGTTAGATGTTCTAAGACCAGTGGCGTAACTAG